GAACTGGTGAACCAAGTCTTGGAGCAGTACTTACAATGCAGCATCAACTATCAACAAGACGATTGGACTGCATATCTACCGCTAGCCAAGTTTGCATATAATAACACCCTCCATGCGTCGACTCAACAAACACCATTCTTTTCCAACTATGGGTATCATCCGAAGCTTGATTTATTGAGTCCGTCAACAAATAACAATCCAGCAGCTGAAGGATTTGCGAAGCAACTATCAGAGCTTCAAACTATGTTGAAGCTTCAATTACAATCCGCTCAAGAATCCTATAAGACATCTACAGATAGATTTCGGAATCAAGCACCTACTTTCAAAGTTGGAGACAAAGTTTGGCTTCTTCGACGAAATATCAAGACCAAGCGACCATGAGATAAGTTGGACTATCGAAGATTGGGACCATTTATCATCCAGAAGCAAATTAATCCAGTGGCATACCGGCCGGAGTTACCGGCTTCTATGAAGGTACATCCAGTCTTTCATGTTTCTCTGTTGGAACCTTATCGAGAGTCATCTTTTCCTGAAAGAGTGCAAAGTCTGCCACCTAGTATTGAAATCGAGAACCACGTAGAATACGAGGTTGAAAAGGTATTGAATTCATGACAAAGGTGGGGAAAGTTAGAATATCTTGTTCATTGGTGCGGCTATGACATTAATGAGCGAACGTGGGAGCCAACTGAAAATCTTGCGAATGTGCCACAAAAGGTACAGGAGTTTCATCAACGACATCCTGATAAACTTAAATCAATTCGACGATAGCTTCTTTCTGAAGCTTGTTCTCCCAAGAATATAAGAAAAGGGGAGAGCACCAGCAAAATTCGTAGTTGATGTAGTTATTTTCTCCAAGATAGATCGTAGTTTGGTCTTTTGATATGGATAGCCAAGAGATAGATACTATGCCAATCAGAGTATCGTAACCGAGTAGCTCACGAAGGCGACCCCGAGATGAAGAACTACATGTACCACGACGATGACGGAGGATACCGAGTAACCGATCACTGGTGATCGTATTTGAGATCGAACCTGCTTACGATGGTCAGCCAGAAGGCGTGTTTGCAGGAGAATTTCACAATGAAGATACGGAAGTTCATGCTTGGTCAGAAGTCGAAGGCGTGGGTCACTACCGTTGGCTTCAAGGGTCGATGAACCACTTACCTCGTGGACAACAGTTGGAATTCATAGCAGAAGTTATGCCACAAATCTTCATTTTCTTGCGTTGGTACTGATCAACAACATTGCTTCTTAGAGACCTCAAAGCTAAAAGAGGGGGTGATATTAGGGACATATTCCTTAGAACTTTCTAGAGAGAAGTTTCTAGAACCTTCTAGAAAACAAGCCTCTGGAACCTTCTAGAAGAGAAGCCTTTGGAACCTTTTAGAGAGAAGTTTCTAGAAGCTTCTAAAAAGGAAGTCTCTGGAACCTTCTAGAATAGAAGTTTCTAGAAGTTTCTAGAAAGGAAGCCTCTGAAACTTTCTAGAAGCTTCTTAGTTAATAGAAGTAGCTCGAGAAGCTTCCTAAGTAGGAGTATATATAGGGATCGAGGCTGAAGAGTTCTTCAGTCTCGACAACACATCTCTTAGAGTTCTAGCTCACCTTTCTGGTGTTGTTCTTGTACTCATCTGTTCAATCTAGTTCTGCCACTTCTTCTTGAACTTCTTGTTAGATTTCAAGTCTGTATTTTGTGTCCGTAACAACTGGGCATCTTTGTTTACTTGAATAAACGCACCCCTAGTCTTGATAATACGTCGATTTTGCTTCTTAGGGCAGTTTCTAACTTTGTGGCCTTCTTCACCACAATACAAGCATAGACCTTCCTCCATACACCGCTTTTTTTCTTCTAGAGTAAGAGATTTGACACGTACCGCATCAATTTACATGTCTTCTACTTCTGAATGTGAATTCACGCTGCTTGCCGACATAGTTGGGGTGTGGCGAACCGTATGTTGTCTTGAACGTTGGTCTTGGCGACGTTGGAATAGGCGATTATTGCACTTCACAACTTGGCTAATAGCTTTGTTGAGCGTTTGCGGATCAGGAAGAGTTAACAGCAAATCCTTCACATCGTCCCTTAAACTCCAATAGAATTGACTCATCAACGCTTCTTCGTCCCAATTGATGTCGCATGCTAATTGCGTCAAATCCGATGCATAGACTGATGTAGAATGCATCCCTTGTCGTAGTGACCGGATCTTTGTTGTAGCCCATCGAACCTTGTCGTGTTCACCAAATGCTTCTGCAAATGCCTCCAAAAAGGTTTCAAAGTTGTTTAGTATGGACGATCATTTCTCAAACAAAAGAGCAAACCATGATAGAGCTTGTCCTGTAAATAAGGTTCCAACAAGCGCAACACGTGACTCCTTTGTTGGATAGCGTTCGAGCTGTAAAACTGTTATCAACTTGATTTGGTTGATGAATCCTCGAAACTTGGAATGTGTACCATCGAACTTGTCTGGAAGGCTAATTCGGAGTTCTTTATGTTGTAGAACCAGCGGTGCTTGTCGAACCTGAGGCAAAGTTGCTTCTCGAAGTGTAGAAGTTTGAGGCTTGTGCAACCTAGATTGTGCCATTCCAGATGCTCCATCATTATGAAGCCTTGCCACGACTCCTTCAATCTCTGCAATTCTTTGTGATAACGTAGCGAGGGCATTCATGATAGCATCTAACTTGGACTCTGAACTTTCCGTCATACTAATGTCTTGGCCCCTGACCATTCTAAGAGAAGGACAGGAATGACTCTACAAGAAGACAATATTGGTTTAGAGGAGGGTACTCTGCAACCTCTAAAATGCCTTAAGAGCTTCAAGAAAAGGGGTAATCCACTCTCTCCAAGAAGAATAAGACTCCAATATTGTAACAAAAGAAGTATCAGTTTAGAGGAGGGTAATCCGCAACCTCTAAAGTGCTAGTACACTTCCAAGTAGAGGGGTAATCCACACTCTAACAAAGAAGAAACTAGCTCTGATATCTGAGGTGAGTGAAGTCTCGACAAACTGTCACGGACACATAATACAGACTTGATATCTACCAAGAAGTTCAAGAAGAACTGACAAGAATTAGATTAATCAGATGAATACAAGAACAATACCAAAGAGGTGAGCTAGAGCTCCAAGAGATGTATTGTTGAGACTGAAGAACTCTTCAGTCTTGATTCTAATATATACTCCTATTTAGGAAGCTTCTCAAGCAACTTCTACCAACTAGGAAGCTTCTAGAAGGTTCCAGAGGCTTGCTTCTATAAGGTTCTAGAAACTTATCTCTAGAAGGTTCTAAGGACTATGTCCCAAACATCTTCTACCAACTAAGAAGCTTCTAGAAGGTTCCAAAGACTTGCTTCTAGAAGGTTCTAGAAGCTTGTCTCTAGAAGGTTCTAGAAACTTGTCTCTAGAAGGTTCTAGAAACTTGTCTCTAGAAGGTTCTAAGGACTATGTCCCTAACAGATGAATGAAGGCACATATTGTCTTTTAACCTCCATCATCTTCTATTTAAATGCACTCAATGTCTTTCAATATTTGTTGTCTTTTGATATTTGTTATTTTTTAATACTCCATCTTACACTCATTCTTTTATATCCATTTACTGTTATTTTTTAGTTACTAGATAGTTTCTTTACTTTTAATATTTTAGCAATCAGCAATGATATATTGCTAAATAATTGATTTTAAGAATTTGTATGTACGCCTTTGTCTTCTTGTTAGCTTCATGTCTTGTCATTAGTTTCATATTTTGTTGTTTTGGTTTCTCTCAAAGAGATGTTATATCTTTATTTGTTGTATGCTTTTATACTTGTTTTATTGCAAGATTATGTTTATTCAACATTAATTGCTATATGTTGGATTGATGATGCTACCAATTATGATAAAGAGGTGTTGGTATCAAAGGAGGTTTCTACTACAACTTTGGTAGTAAGTCAAGGTCTCTAGATAGTCAAATTCAAAAACAATCACTCCAAAAATTCCATGTTGTTTTATGTGGTATTCAACTTGGAATCTATATTAGTTGAGAAGATTGTAAGAGACACATTGATGGATACAATGGAACAAAATACAAGATTTTCCATTGCAAAGCACTTGCATATATTTTTAAAAATACTATATTTTCATTCAACAAGGATGTTTTTTTCTTTTTAATTTTGTTTTAGATTTGATCATTGAATTTAGATAGAACTTTAATACCTATTTTTTGAGCATCTTTATAAAAATAATAGGTGATTTGCTTCTAACATCTTAAAAGGAACATTCTTTCTATAAAACAATTACCTCTTAATCTATAATTGGTTTTTAAAAAATATTGTATACATTATTTAATAATTTGAAATTAGTTCTTTATTTGAAAGTCAAATTTAAATTTTAATTCTGAATTTTCTTTTTAGATTTTTATCTTCTTTTCTTCTACTATTATCTTTTAATCTTTAAATTTTAATTATTATACTAAAATATATTTTATTTCAATAGATTTATTCTATTTCTTATAGAATTAATAATTAGGATTTTTTATAATGAACTATTTTATATGAAAATAGAATTATTTTATAAATTCCTTTGAAGAAACTTCTTAATTGCCATCAAATACAGTTTTTACTTCTAATGTTTTTATTATGCACTAATGACCTTTTCAAAAACCATGGTACAAAAAACATTATATTCCATCGTCTATCTAAAAAATATAATCTTAAAGCTCTTTGATTTCTGATTTTAACATCATAATATCAAAAGTTATAACAAATTACAAAACTTGCCTAGATGTTTTGTAAATATTTTTGGTTGAGATGAATTTATTGGCTTTAGATTCTCTATTTTTTCTGAGCTAATAATCTGAGAGAACGATGAACGAGGGGATTGCTAAATTGGGTTTCATATATCTAACTCTGACGTTAACTCTGCATCAGAAGCTACAATACAAACTGCATACTCTTGATCCGATGCATCTGGTCCTGAATTCGTTCGTAATCCTTTATTAGAAAGTGTAGACATGGAGAATTGCAGTGGAATGTTTTGGTTGCGAATCTTGTACAGAACAGTATGCTGCAGTTCTCCTTTTGAATAGTACCCAATTCTGCAGAACAGAGTGCCTGTAAGTTTCCGGCAAGCACAACATCCTGCGTTCTCTGCAATTAGACATAAACGTTTGGCCTGCTTTTAGTCTGATCCGTATCTTATTTCACTGCCTGTGAAATTTGTGAGGAGTACCCTGTGCCTTAGCATCTCTTCTGGGATCTGGTGTCTGTAATTTCTGCATTTGGGTATGTTTGCACTCACTGGGTTGATGATTCGGAGTGCAGCAGCATGCGAGGTGGACTAGCTAGAACTGTCTCGCAGCAGCAGGTTTGGTGTAGCGTTTGAGGTTTGAGCATGTGTTAGGGGAGGAGATACCCATGGGGCAGCTCGGGAACATCCCCAGTTCATGGAACACAGATTCCGAGGCGTTCATTCTGGTTTCTGAGCATCGCCCAAACCTTGGACCGAATTTGGAGGCCGACGACATTCCAGTGATCAATCTCGCGCCATTTTTCGATGTAATTGGTGTGGAAGCCGAGGGCGAGAATTGGTCGGCCATTGGTGCCGTGGTTGAGCATTCGAAAGATCCTACGTTGCGGTCCTTGGTGGCCGAAATTGGAAACGCGTGCGCGGAGTGGGGTTTTTTCCAAGTGGTCGACCATAAAATTTCTCCAGAGCTGCTGCGCAAGGTTATGGAAGCCGCTAAGGGGTTCTTCTCACTTCCACTTGAGGAGAAAAAGAAAGTCGGCAGGAGTTTCGAACGGCCCCTAGGATACAACGACTCGGAACTCACCAAAAACGCTCGCGATTGGAAAGAGGTCTTCGATTGGGCGCCTCTAGGGTATTATGAAATGCCGGAAACTGTTGATAGCGATTACAGGTATGGACGATCTGTTTTACGGAGGCGGAGTTTTATGTTCATGCTTTCAAATAAACAGCATGCAAGGTGTTGTTGCAACCTGGTTGAATAACTTAAGACAATTCAGGACTGCGGAGCCGTTACGTAATACCTAAGAAATACTTTGTGTAATCTAGGTTTGGTGCTGCATTTGGCGTTGTTTTTCGATCATAAAAGATTTCTCAATATTCTGTGTTCTGGGTGCGCATGGCTCCAGGAGTGGAAGATATTCCAACACCACATTGAAGAGCTACAACCAGTGGCCTGCTATGCCAGATGGCTTCCGAGAAGCGTGTGAAACGTACACAGAAGCAGTGGTACACTTGTCTGGTTTGTTACTGGGCCTCATAAGTGTCAGCCTTGGCTTGCCCTACGACGTCTTGCACCACTACTTTGACAAGGATAACACGATCCAAGCGCGCCTGAATCATTACCCTCACTGCCCACTTGCAGACCTGGTGTGTGGCGTGAACAGGTATGACAACGCCCTGCTCACAGCACACTGCATGAATCTTCTTGTAATGAGGTTTCGAGAGTCCATGGCTGCGTGAGCTGACTGTCTGGCTTTGGTGCTGCTGGTCAGGTGATGACTGAACTGATAAGCTGATTATCTTGTTCTCAGGCACGTAGACTCTGGGGCACTTACCGTCCTTGCTCAAGATAGCGTCGGAGGTCTGCAGGTACAAAATGTGGTGTTAAAAGACGTCTCTCGATATTCTCAACTATTCCTGTTCTATAAGAGTCTTATTACATGAATCTGCTCATACCAAGTGCAAAGCTACTGCATGCTCATTCGTGTGATGGCAGTGATGAAGGTGTGAAGTTGACCTGAGTGTGCAAATTGGTTACGAAATGTGTCCATTCCCCTCAGGTTAAGCGGAAGGACGGGCAGTGGGTGGCAGTGAAGCCACGTGAGGATGCGTTTGTGGTGAACGTGGGTGCCATTCTGCAGGTGTGGAGCAACGACAAGTATCGCGGGGTTGAACACCGTGTTTCGGTGAACGAGAGGAAAGAGAGATTCTCAATTCCTGTGTTCTACGATCCTTCCATCAAGACGGATGTGTTTCCATTGCCGCAACTTCTGGATGAAGAGCATCCTGCACAATACCAGTCTTACAATTGGGGATTCTTCCGGAGGACAAGAAACAACGGGAACTTTAAGCAGCTTGGAGAGAACATCCAGATCCACCACTATAGAATCTAGAGGGGGTGAGTGTATTTGCACGTTTAGGATCCTCTGAAGAGGAGCTAATTAAAGAGGTGTCACAGTTTAAGCTTTGTATATATGGTCGTGGCAGTTTCAAGTCATGCTGTGCAACAGGATGAGATGTGAGCTAATGAATGAGTATTGTTGAGGTTGGCTCATTTCAAAGACATGTAAGTTAGAGATGTGAGTTGAAGCATCCAACGTAGTTTCTTAAGCTTAAGCGTAAGACAGCATTGTTGACCTCAGCAGATTGCATTCTTCGGCATTAATAAGAAAGGGTTAGTGTTGTCACTTTGCACCAATGACTGGCTTTGCACCAATGTAGTGGATGATTATGTGGACAAAATACAACTACATTCGATCGTGTAATGCTTGGGTTTTTAGGAGTTAATGAATTATGTGTGTAAGTTTGATGTTAGTCTCTGTTGCAAATTATTTCTTATATGGTTGTTTTAGAAGATTTCTCTTGTAGTTCCATCATGATTATCATGGTATTTTTAGGTCATGATACTATTTTACATGTAAAATTTCTATTGAAATGACAATCTTTTTGTGCAACAAGTTTCTTGAGTGCCACATTTATGTACATATGTATATGTAGAATTTATTCTTATTACTCATACTTATGTATCATTTGTGATTGTTTTAAATTATCTTAATTAATGTTTTTTCATATTTAATTGGTTTGTACTTTGGAATGTGGTTTTGGAGTGTTTTGATCTGTTGTTTTGGTTTTAGGAAATTTTTGAGGTATTTTGTTGTTTTGTATTTAATTATGTTTTTATTGTTGTATATAAGTCTTTTCATGAGCAATAATGGTAGTCTTGGTTTTTGATTGAAATATCTTTAAAAACAAATCTATTATCTTGAAAAAAAAATTATAACAAGATTATTGAATTTATTAGGTTTTACCTGATCAAAAACAAAGTAAATTTTTATTTTTTATAAATTATCATTATAACATTGTAGCTTCCTTGTAGATAATTCTTTTCTTTCAAATTAAATTAATCTTCAAAAGACATTTTAAATTTAATTTCTTTTACACCTTTTATCTTTTTTAAACATAATTTATTTTCTAAAAGAATTTTATAATTGAAGATCCTCATGTCTTCATGAAGTAAGTTATTTTTAAAAGAATCTATTTTAGCTGATTTATCATTTAATATAAATATTTGTTTATTACAAATCAATAGTTGGCAATAGTCATTATAGTTTCTATCTTATATCTTACTTTGATTTATGTATTATATATATATATATATTTTTGAATATCACAAAGATATATTACTTTTTTGAGTTTTCTTACAATTCATGTTCTTGACAATTGCACATGAGTATTAATTTTTTTATATTTGTTTAAATTCAGAAGCAAGTGGATTATTCAACTTTTTATTGTCGTGTCTTAGAGATTACAAACTATCCTTCTTCAAACTAGCATTTTGTATTCTTCTTCTATCATTTTTTTTTTTTTCTTTTTTTTTTCTTTTCTTTTGTTAAAAAGAAGTACCTTCCTCTAATTTGACTTGTGGATTTGTTAAATTTTTTTATTGTAGAGACAAAAGAAAAATAAATTATGGATGCTACACTAAATGAAAATGAGAATATATTTGTAACTATTATAAATCTTCATGAGCTTATCAAGACTATTAAGACAAAATTTCCATCTATTACAAATGTCAATCATAAGAGTACTATTCCTACTTCTATAGAAGAAATCAACAATGAAGTCCAATATCTATGCTAAGAAGTTGTGCAATTGAGAAAAGCAAGTTGGTCATTCTTATAAGTGAATCCAAAAATTCTTATTAGTCTAAGTTTAAAAAAAATAAAAATTAATATGCTTGTGAAGTTTGATAAAACAAGAGAAAAATTTTAAGGATTTCTAAAACAAATCAAGTTCTATTTAAGGTTACATCCTTTCAAATATCTTAACAAATTTATTCAAGTAAAATCTATATATATATATATATATATATATATAGATATTATTTTATTTAAAAGTACTCTCTTTGAATTTTTATCTTTGATAGAAAAAGATTTAAGATGGTTATATTATCTAAATTCATTTTTGTAAGTATTTATAGCCATATTTGGAGAAATTAATTAAAAAACAATTTTATAAACAAAATTTCTACCTTTACAATAAAAATTACAATCACTTACCATCTATATTACCAATTTCCAAAGCCTTACTCCTACAATGGATCGGAATAATAAAATACTTATCAATCAATTTCAATATAGTTTAAAAGATTATGTCAAAGATTTATTATTAAAAAATCTAAAATTATATTTATTAAAATAATTTATTATTCAAGCTATTGCATATGACAATTGACTTTTTGAAAAGTGCCAAGAATAAAGATTTTATTAGAGAAAAACAAATCAAGTCATGACAACAATTTCTAAGTTTTTATTAACTTGTTCATCAAGACTAGAACTTATTGATGCAAAATATTTTAAATGTTTCACTAAGCAAGAAAAGACTTGATGTAGCCAAGAAGAATTGTACTTATATTATGGAAAATCTAAGTACAACATCTAACATTGTTTAAAGAAGTGACATAATCACAAAATGAAGAATATGGTTGTCAATAAAGACAATGTGTTAAATAATTAATTTGTCTAATTACAAAAAGAACCAAATTTCTAAAATCTTATGCAACACCTAGTGAAGATTCTATTCTCTCTTTAGCACCTTCACCTTGTTTTACAATAGATGTTTATTTAGGATCTAAAAATGATAAAGTCTTTGCCTTAGTAGATTCAAGTGCTTTATCTTGTTCTTTAAATAAAGACTTTTTTAAAAAAACATAATATATCTTTAACAAAGAAAATTAAATCTATACATGTAAAAATCATTGATGGTCATCTTTTGTCTTTTAAAGATGTTATCCACAAAATTATATATGTAGATATACCATAAAATGGTCATAATAGTTTAGTAAATTTTAATATTATTAAATATTCCTTTGATCTATTTATTTTAGATTTATTGTGGCTTAAAAAATATAATTCTTAAATAGATTAGATTTCTTGTAATTTCCATTTTTTTATAGCATAACAAAGTTCTCTTCTAATAAAGTAGGAAATCATAAGTCTAATACAACCAAATCTTTATTTATAGATTTTAAAGCTTTTATGCATGCTGCAAAAAAAAGTGCTATATTTTTTTGTTTACACTACATCTATTACTAATGATGCAAATACTTCAAGGAGCATTTCAAGTTTGTATAAGGATATTAAGATATTTTTCAAAAAATAACATAAATATTATTTCAAACCATTATCTTTCTAATTGTTCAATTGATTTTCAAGAGAGAATTCAACTGTCATTTGGATCAATTTAAAACTTATCGTAAAATGGGTTGGCTTCACTCAAAGAGTATATTGATGAAAGTTTGGCAAAGAACTTCATTCACCACTCAAAATCTCCAACAAGAACTCTTATCTTATTTGTGAAGAAAAAAAAGATAGATTATTGTAGATGTATGTAAATTATTAAGAATTCAACAAGATTAACATAAAAAATAGGTATTATTTATCTTTAATGTCTAGATATTTTGATCAATTGAATCAAACAAAGATCTTTATTAAAATAGATCTACTAAGAATATAAAATCTTATAGGCATAAAAAAAGGAGGTGAATTAAAGATTGTATTTTAAATTAGGTTTGGTTATTTTAAATATAATATCTTACCTTTTGAACTATTTTAAATATGTTTGGTTATTATAAATATTTAAGATCCATACAAAAGAGCTTCTTGCAATAGTAGATATATTTTAAAACTTGCGCTATTATTTGGAAGGTATTTATAATCAAGTGATTGTTTATATAGATTACAAAAACCTTAAGTATTTTTATGTTAATACACCTTTTAAATTGTTATTAAATTCAATAGAGCATGTCTTTATTAAGTTTTGTATTTAATATCATCTATCAGCCAAAAAAATAATAGCATTTGTTAGATGCCCTTTTAAGACGTTCTTATCCTACACCAAAAGAAAAAAATATAGCTTTTAAATTAACAAAAAATTATTCTTTTGAATTGAAGTAATTTTATTTTTAAGCAATAAAATCAATATTAATTTTTGATTTAATGTTTCTTAATTAATTTTAATTAATCATATCCTTGAATCCTCTTATACAAGATATCAAGAATAATTTTTTAAAAATCTCATGATATTTCTAAGTTTAAATTTAAAGACAATTTTTTCTATTTTGAAGAATAATTATATGGTTAAAAAGATGAATTATAATTATGTGCTCTTGAATCTTATCAAAAAAAAATTAACTACATAATATTTTGAATATAGTAAAATCTTAGAATTAATTTTAAGAGATTTTTGGTGGTCTAAAATGCAGAAGGCAATTAAAAACTTTGTACAATAATGTGAAATTTATTTAAAATAAAAAACTTCTTATAATTAACCTTTTAGACTTCTCTAATTAATACATGTATCAAAGCAACAAATGTTATTTGTTTTTGTGGATTTTATTAGAGATATTTTAATTTCAAGCTTTTATTAGTCTATATTTGTGATAGTAGATTATTTTTGTGTTATGTAAAAACTAATATGAAAATACACTAGATATTTGATTGTAGAAATTAAATTATATTAATAAAAAAAAATTATAAAAAATTAAATCATAAATATTTTTTTATAAAAATAAAATAAAATAAAAAATCTTATAAGAAATCATATAAAAATCCTAAAAAATTTCTAAGTAAAATTTTAAAATATTTTAATCAAATATTAAGTAAATATTAACAAAAAACTAAATAAATCCTTATAATTCTAAAAAAATTCTAATAAAATCCCAACAAATTAGAAATTAATTCTAATCAAATTCAAATGAAATTCTAAAGATATCTTACAGATCTTAATAAAATTCTACCTACTACTTTATCAATTATAAAAAATCTTATGAAAATCTTAAGACCTCAATAGCTATTAATTAAACTATTAGTGTTGTTTAAAATTTTACAAATATTATAGTTTAATAGTTAATATAAATTATAATATTTTTTTAAAAAAATAATTATAGATTAAAAATAATTCTTTAATTTCTTGAATATTGAGATTTTTTATTCCAACCTTGATATTAGTCTTTTAGAAAAAATAACTTCTTATTGAATTATTCACTTACATATGAAATTTAAAAAAATATTAAAAACTAAGTTCAAATTTTATTTACAAAACTTGCTTCAATCCAATTAACTCACTTAATATCAAAGAAATCCATATTGATCCTTGAAATCCAAATTCTAGAATCATAGCCTACTTAGATTTCAATAACCT